TCAAACTCTAAGATAAATCACAGTATTAAAAAGGCATGTTTTAAATGCCATGGAGTTGGTTCCGACTCTTATTGACCATATATAGGGTTTCTGAGGAGTGACTGATGGGTTTGAACCACCAATCTGTGGTCAGAAATCCAGTGTTTATCCTACAGTACCATACCAGGAGTCACAGAATAGTGTATCATGCTATCATTTTTGGAAGCACACATACATACACAGAATATGTCTAGAAATACAATAAAGAAAGTGCTAACAATCACTGACTTAGTGAAAGAAAACGCGGGGGCCGAGGATCAAGAGTAGATGACTGACTTTTCACTTTACACATATTTGTAATAATTGAATTTTTTTCTTTCACATGTGCATGTATGTATAAACTTTTAAAAACCATAGTTTTTCACTGCACTCAAACCTCTATCACCTACTTGCTGTCAATAGGTGATGTTGTCTCCTATTACTGGGAAAGTCAGAGCTAGCCAGTCAATACCTCCTATAAAGTCCCACCACCACCTATAGACCTAACAGCACTCTTTCTTTCATCTTGCCCTCTCCCAATGGAAGAGGTGTCTCTCTTCCTATCTACAGTTAATCTTTCCTCCTGTTCCTTGGATCCCAACATGTCCTTCTTATTTTCCAAGGACCTCCCCGTATCAATTACTCACCTTTCTCTACCCCAATATGTCAAACTCATTTTATATTTTCTATTAGTATTCAAATGTATCCTGTGGGTTAATGTGCTGGACTGCAAGGTTGTTTTGAACTGCAAGGTTGGCAGTTCAAGCTCACCGGTGGCTCCTTGGAACCCCTATACAGGGTCGCTATGAGTCGATAATGACTCAACCGCACTTCACAACAACAACATTAAAACAAAAGGACACACAAAAATAACTATCCATCTAACCAACATACTCGTTTCATTGATCGGCCCTCTCTTGTCTTCTTCACAAAGTGGTTGAAAGTTTATTGTAACTCACGCAATTTGATAATGGCTTTCTCAAGTTTTTCTACAATCAATGTTTGTTTCTGTTCCCCAATACCCCAACTATTCCATGGAAATTGCTATCACTAGCATTCAATTATTTTTCAAAATCTCATTTCTAATCCTGATGGATACTTCTTAATCCTGACCTTCTACGTTGCTATTAGGAATCTGTTGTTGTTGTTGTGTGCCATGGAGTCGGTTCTGACTCATAGCGACCCTGTACAGGGTTTCCGAGGCTATAAATCTTTATGGGAGCAGAAAGCCTCATCTTTCTCCCACGGAACAGCTGGTAGTTTCGAACTGTTGACCTTGTGGTTTGCAGCCCGATTCTAAACCGCTACGCTACCAGAGCTCCTTGTATATATAAACAGAGAGAGGAATCTAAAGGCATGTAAATAATCGAATATGGCCTTCCCAGGAGACCTGGTAGTGTAATGGATTACGAGCTGGGAAACTAACTGCAAGGTCAGCAGTTTGAATCTATCAGTTGCTGTGTGGGAAAAAGTATGCTTTGGCAAAGCTTATAGGTTTGGAAAGCCAGTTATGAGTCAGAACAGATTTGGTGGCACATAATCACCACCACCGCCACCACCATAGCCTTCCAAGAGAAGTTAAGAAAGGAGCAGCCACCAAACATGTTCTTAATGTAGAAGAGCACACTGAGGTTGTAAAGACTCTGTAATGAGATAGAATGTAAGAATTTAACACTTCTTGGAGAATAATAGAGAAAAGAACTATGCTAGGAACCTCCAACTCTGAAATCCATGATAGAAAGTGATACACAACACTAACTGACTCAAATTAATTTTAGACCTATTTAGACCTATCTAAAATTAATTTTAAAAGAGAAGAAATATTTGCATTAAATGACAATATGATGAGTTCAAAAGTATTGTTATACAATTATAGAAACCTTTACAACACAAAAATAGCAAAATGCAAATTATTGTTTCTCAACGTATCGTCCATCGATGTCTATATACTTCTGAAGGCAGTGTTTCAATCTCTCCAATCCATTTCTCAAGCTGAGGGAACTGAAGGAAAAATTCAAGCCTTCACTTGCAATACTGAAGAATCCTATGGGAGTCCCGTTGTGGCGCTGTGAGTTAATGTGCTGAATTGCAAAGTCAGTTTGAACTGCAAGATCGGTGGTTAAAGCTCACCAGTCACTCCTAGGAAACCCTAAACAGGGCTTCTATGTGTTGGAACCAACTCGACAGCACTTAATAACAATGGGCAAAATAATGAATGATGCACAAAGCATCAAAAGAAGAGGGAAGGAATATAGAGAAGGTTGATGTTCAACCATTTCAAGAGGTAGCATCTGATCAAGGTGCACTGAAGGCATTGGCAAAGAACAAGGCACTGGGAATTGATGGAATATAAATCGGAATCTTTCAACAAACTGATGGCACTGAAAGCACTCACCCATCTCTGCCAAGAAATTAGGAAGACAGCTACCTGGTCAACTGACTGGAAGAGAGCCGTATTTGTGCCCATTCCAAAGAGAGGTGACCCAATGGAATGCAGAAGTCATTGGACAGTATCATTAATTTTACATGCAAGTAAAATCTTGCTAAAGATAATACAAAAATGGCTGCAACCATACATTGACAGAGAACTTCCAGAGGTTCAGGCTGGATTCAGAAGAGGACATGGAACAAAGGATATCATTGCTGATGTTAGATGGATCTTTGCTGAAAGCAGAGAATACCAGAAAGGTGTTTATATATGCTTTATTGACCACACAAAGGCTTTTGATTGTGTGGATCATAACAAGCTATGAACAACATTACAGAGAACGAGTATTCTGGAACACTTAATTGTGCTCACAAGGAACCTGTACCTAGACCAAGAGGTAGTTGTTGAAACAGAACAAGGAAACACCGAATGGTCTAAAATCAGGAAAGGTGTGCACCAGAGTTGTATTCTTTCACCACACTTATTCAATCTGTATGCTGAACAAATATTCAGAGTAGCTGGGTTATATGAAGAAAAACGTGGCATCAGAATTAGAAGAAGACTTATTAACAACCTGCGATATGCAGATGACACAATCTTTGCTGAAAGCAAAGAGGACTTAAAATACTTACTGATAAAGATCAAGGACCACAGCTTTCAGTATGGGTTGTAACTCAATGTAAAGAAAACAAAAATCCTCACCACTGGACCAATAAACAACATCCATATAAAAGGAGAAAAGATTGAAGTTGTGTAAGACTTCATTTTGCTTGGATCAACCATCAAAACTCATGGAAGTAGCAATCAAGAAATCAAACAGCATATTGCATTAGGCAAATCTGCTGTACAAGACTTCTTTAAAGTGTTGAAGAGCAAAGTTATCAGTTTGAGGACTAAGGTGCACCTGACCCAAGCGATGGTATTTTTAATAACATCATATGTATGTGAAAGTTGGACAGTGAATAAGGGAGACAGCAGAAGAATTGATGTATTTGAGCTATGTGTTAGAGGAGAATATTAAAAGTACCATGGACTGCCAAAAGAACAAACCAATCTGTGTTAGAAGAAGTACAGCCACATGATCCTTGGAAGCCAAGATGGTTAGACTTCGTTTCTCATATTTCAGACATATTATCAGGATATACCAATCCCTGGAGAAGGATATCATGTTTGGTAAAGTGGAAGGTCAGATAAAATGAGAAAGATGGGGAAGGTAGACTCCCTCCTGAATAGTTCTCATCTTGTCTAGACGGGTCTGGCAAAAAGTGATGGGTATAAGATTCTTATGATTCAATAGTAAGTAACTGTTATCATGATTAATTGCAACTGTCACAACTGTCAAGGTAGAAGTTCTGTAACAAAAAGGGGTAGTAGTTAATCTTACAATCCAGGAACAGAGGACCCTGGAACCATCAAGGGAGAAGAGCATGAGTGGAATGTGGGACCCTATTCAGAGAAGCAGCAACACCAGAGATGGAGGCAAAGATGAGGACATGGAGAGGTGGAGCAGTTTAGGACTCTAGACTCATGGAAAGAGAGGGACTGAGTGCTGACAGTCAGGAGGCAGGCTTGCAGAATGTGGCCTTTGGTTGTTTACATGATTATAAATTCCTGAGTGGTTTTGTGTACATCCGAAAACAACAACATCAAAAAAACCCCAGAGGGAATAGAAGCAAATGCTATTGAATGATGATGCACGGAGGAGATTGTAATCGTTGTAATGAAATGATGAGTGTAAAACCAATGTTCTCCCATGTAAACAATCACTCAATTCACAATAAAAGCTTTAAAAAAAAAAGGTGGAAGACACTCAATGAGCTGGATTAGCACAGTGGCGGCAGCAGTGGACTCAGGCTTAGCAATGATTGAGAGGTTGGCACAGTACCAGGCGGTGTTTCGTTTTGTTGTGCATAGAGCTGCAACAACACCCTTAAGAATTCTGTGCTATTTGATTTACACTACATTAAAATGGCAGTTCAAACGACCTTATGGTCAAGTGCTTATCCTACAGCACCACGCCATAACCACTAAAATTTGTTAAAAACCAAACAGGAAAAAAATCAAACCTGGTAATTTAAAACTCTCTCTTACTTTTAAGCAATAAAAAACTAGTATTTGGTGAGTTGCAAATACTACCCTTCTCAGGTACTACCAGTCTTCAACCACAAACAACCTTATTATGATGGAAATAATCAGAATAAGCTGAATTAATTAAAAGAAAAAAGAATGTTAATTCATTCTTTCACAGCAAAAATAAATGGGAATAATTAAAAAATATATGTTTTTATATGATGTGCTAGAAACATTCTTTACAAGACAATAAAATTATTATGTCCTAACCCAAGAAGGAGCTCAGGTAGCATAATGGTTACGAATCGGGCTGCAAACTTCAAGGTCAGCAGTTCAAAACTACCAGCTGTTCCACAGAAGAAAGATGAGGCTTTCTGCTCCCATAAAGATTTACAGCCTCGGAAGCCCTGTACAGGGTTGCTATTAGTCAGCACCGACTCCACGGCACATAACCATCAACCCAAGCAGATAAAATAATTCTTACCAATGGAAAGAATACTCCCATAATTTTCCTTCCTGCCATCCGTATAAAGGTTCTTCTAGGATGGATCCAAACGCCCCCATTCCACAAGGCTGAAAGAAACAGCCATATCAATCACCTCTTCTATTTCTACCAACTTCTAAAATACAAGTTCTCCACTAAAATCACATTTCCTTATACTCAAATTTGAAGTGAAAATAAGAACTGGGCATGTTATGGGAAAAAATAGGGGGAGGGACTATGTCTCAAAGAGGATAGAGGAGTATTGAGCAGAAAAGAAAAAGGCAAAAATGGAATTAAGTACCAACCCAACAAAGGCCTGGTCTCTAGGTAAAGCAACTGAGAGAACTCCTGACAAAAATCCAGGACTAAGGCAGGTTATTGTACATACATATGGAACCTCAATGACGGCAAAAGGATGCCAGCTCACCTGGGACCCAGCGGAGAGAAGTGAAGATGTGAACTCCTGGTCTCTAAGGCTGTCCTTCAAGGGAAGGAAAGGAACTTGTAGACTAGGAAGGGCTGAAGGAGGAGAAAACACCTTTAAGAAAGAACTGCTTGTCCAGTTCTTATTGCCGCCATGTTTACTTGGTTAAGAATCTACAGTGGTCTCAAGGTTAAATTATTTTGCTTGGCTCAGAAAATCCTCTACATTCTGGTCTCTCCCATACCTGTGTATTATTATTACCCACCCCAAAAAAAAAAACAAAGCAAAAATCCTGGTTTGGTGAGGCTAATCCCTGCAAAGCCTTAGACTAGGCTATCCCCCAACATAGGATCCACTCTGCTTTGCCAAGATAAATCAATTCTCAAGGAACAACCAAAGTGCCACCTTTTCTATGAAGCCAAAGCATTCTCTGTATCCCAGCTTCTCCAGCTTGAAGGTGCGAACAACTCACCATGGGCCCTTGTTACACTGTAGTGTCGGATTCAGTAGGTTTGGACTGGGGCCTGAGAGTCTGCATTTCTAACACGCTACCAGGGGATGTCCCTTGAACCATACTGTGATTGGCCCTATTGTTGCCTCATGCACAATAGATAATTGTGAATGATAGGGTTTTCACAGGCTGATTTTCAGAAGTAGATTGTTAGAACATTCCTCCCAGTTTGTCGTAGTCTGGAAATTCTGCTGAAACTTGTTCAGAATCACAGCAACACATAAGCTTCTGCTGACAGATGAATGGTGCCTCTGCTCGAGGTACATTAGCCAGGAATCAAACCCAAATCGCCTGCATGGAATGGGAGCCCTCTACCAGCAAACCACTGCTGCTTTGTATGGTTTGATTAGCAAGGCCTTACTTAGTCCACATGCTCTCCCTTCAAGCAATTACTATGGTGAGTTTATAGTCAGTCAAGAAATGTATTAGTCTGTTCCATGCATTATAGGAATAGGCAATTCTTGCCCTCCAAAATTTTATTGAGTAATGAGAGGGTCAGGTGCAGACACCTTACCTAGAACATAATGTAAAGAGTACTATCATGGAAGATCACACAAGGATCAAAGGGAATAGAAAGATGTACCGACAGAGTAGACAGGGGTAGGGAAGAAGATGTCAGGAAAGTCTTTCCAGAGACAGTGACTCTGGGAAGTAGAGATGGAAGCGAAGGAAGAGGAGGGTACTTTACAGGTAAACAGCATGCTCCTGAAGGTTCTGAGCTTAAGATGTGGATGACAAACTGTCCCTCTGATATCACCTCTACTTGTCCTTTGTCTAAGATTCATGGCTCACTCCGTTATTATTGTATGTGTAGGCCTTGACTTGGAGAGATCTACCTGATATTAACCTTTGACCCCACTAATTTGTTGTTGTTGTTAAGTGCAGTCGAACTGATTCTGACCCATAGCAACCAGGTATAGGGTTTTCAAGAAACTGCTGGTGAACCTGAACTGCCGACTTTGCAGTTCAAATGACTTTGCGGTGTGACACATTAACCCACAGCGTCACAGCACCACAGCCCATTAATTTGTTGGAACCCAGCAGTCACTCCTCAGGAGAAAGATGAGGCTTTCTGCTCCCGCAAAAGATTATAACCTCAGAAACCCTATAAAGGGTCACTGAGTTGGAACCAACTTGGCGGCACTTAATAACAGACCTGGAGATATATGTGCGTATGTCACTTGCTTCTTTCCAGTGACTAGGAAATAACAAAGAATGACACCGATAAAATGATTGTTGTTGTTAAGAGGCATCAAGTTGGTTCCAACTCATAGTGACCTTGTATAGTGTTTCTGAGACAATGGTTAAAGAAATGAAAGCCCAAACTAGAGAAGGGATCTGAAACCAGGATTGGCTAAAGATTCAAAATAGGACTTGAAGAAACAAATGAATATAGTCTATATCTAAGTAAACAATAGTTTAGCTGGAATAAAGAAACTGGCTAGGATCTGGCTAACATTTTGGAGAAGATAAGAAGCACTTGGCAAACAGAAGACATAAGAAGTCTGATCTGAAAGTGGAAGAAGATGACAGTTATTTAAGGAGGATGGGATTCTGGTGGTAAATCAAAGGTCGTTAACACAAAACGAGTTAAATGTGTAGATGTAGTCAGACTCCTCCAGTTAAAATCTCAGCTCTGTTACTTAATGCTTTATGACCATGGACAGATTTCTTAACCTTTCTACAACTCAGCTTCTAATTTATAACAGGTTGTTGTTAAGCGCCATGGAGTTGGTTTTAACTCATAGCAACTCTGTATAGGGTTTCTGAGGCTTTAAATCTTTTGTGGGAGCAGAAAGCCTCATCTTTCTCCCACAGAGTGGCTGATGGGCTCAAACCACAGACTTTGTGGCTTGCAGTTTAGTGTTTACCCTGAGGATAATAAAAATACCTATTTCATTGTGTTATGAGACTTAACCTTGCTACACCAGCAAATTCTACTGAACATAATGTTAAAGTTTCTCTTTGAGCACTTTTAATTACTTTTACTAAGTGAGACTACATGAGTTTTATTTTTGTTGAGGTTTCCTTAATAACAAAAAGAAAATTTATTTTATAATTTTTTAAAACTCATTCTTGTAATTTCAACACAGGGTCACTAGGCCCTTTTACTAATCTAAAATACCTTTTAAGATTTAAATGATCTATTTTCCTACATTTTGAATGCTTTTCTATTTTATCATCCAAGGATGATATTATGAAATTAATTAGTTCTTCCCAACTATGCCAAAATGACTAAATCAATGAAATAAGAATGGGAATATCTAGGGGTCAGGCAACAGTAAAACAAATCATCATTTTTTACTCTTCTTACTGCTTGCCCAAAGTACTGATATGCAGCTTAAAGTAGTGCATTGGCCTTCAAAACGTATCAAAGAAGAAAGGTGACACATGGTTTAGCTTCTATTAAGCACAGCTGAAAATTCAGAGTGTTTTGTTTTCTGCCACTCTGGCAAAGAGAAGAAAACTTGTAGAAGAAGACATTTCAGTCTTATTAGATGAATTAGATGATAAGTGAAGAGACAGAGAAGAGCTCCTGCCAAATGTTAATGATGACACTGAAAGTATAAATGACATCTTAGGCTACAGGCTTTCAAATGATAATATCCCCAATGAGTTTTTTCAAGCTCATGAATGCATGAATTGAAATATTTCTAATTTGAAGATGGCAGTATGGCATCTCATTAACAGGAAGGACTTCATCCTGCAATATTTTGTCATAAGATCCTGGACCATCTATCTCATTTTGCTATAAGGACACAGGGCAGTATTCTTTTGTTCTTATGCACCAAAATGTACTTGATACAAAGAGGTTGAATTCTTATTAAAATGTCTAAAAAATTGTCAGCATTACAGATAGGCATATAAAGTGAATGTCTGCAAATTATTTATAAAATGACTTAGAAATAGAGAAAAACAGAGGATCAGTTAGCCCCAGATAGTAAATGTTGTTAAGTGCCATCAAGTTCAGTTTTGACCCATAGCAACTTGTATAGGGTTTCTGAGGAGTGGGTGGCGAGCTTGAACCACTGACGTTGTGGTTCAAATGGACTTTGAAGTCCAGTGCATTAACCCACAGCACCACACCAGGAATATAGATAGTAAACGGTGAGGACTAATTTTCCAGGTACACCTTTCCTGATTTTAATGAAGCAGTATCCCCTTGTTCTGTTTGAAAAACTGCCTCTTGGTCCATGTACAGCTTCTCCATGAGCACAATTAATTTATGTGGAATCCCCATTCTTCTCAATGTTGTCCATAACTTGTTATGGTCCACACATTCAAACTACTTTGCAGAGTCAACAGAACACAGGTAAACACCTTTCTGGTATTCTCTGCTTTCAACCAAGATCCACTTAACATCAGCAATGATATCCCTAACTCCACATCCTCTTCTGACTCCTTAAATTTCTGCCAGTTCCCTGTTGCTTTACTGCTGTAACTGTTTTTTTGGTTTAAAATCAGGAAAGCTGTACATCACAGTTATACCCTTTCACCATATTTATTCAATTGATATGTTGAGCAAATAATCCAAAAAGTTGGGACTATACGAAGAACATATCATCAGGATTGAAGGAAGAGTCATTAACAACCTGTGATATGCAGATAACACAAGCTTGCTTGCTGAAAATGAAGAGGAATTGAAGCACCTACTGATGAAGATTAAAGACTACAGCCTTCAGAATGGATTATGTCTCAAAATAAAGAAAACAAGAATCCTCACAACTGGACCAATAAGCAGTATCATGAAAAAAATGGAGAAAAAAATTGAAGTTATCAAGGATTTCACTTTATTTGAGCAACAATAAACGTGCATGGAAGCAGAAGTCAAGAGATCAAATGACGTAATCACACTGGTCAAATCTACTGCAAAAGACCTCTTGAAATTGTTAAAAAAACAAAGATGTCACCTTGAGGACTAAAGTGTGCCTGACTCAAGGCATGATATTTTCAATCACCTCACATGCATGCAAAAGCTGGATAATGAATAAGAAAGACCAAAGAACTGATACATATTAATTATTGTGTTGGTGAAGACTATTGACTATACCATGGCCTGCCAATTAGAATAAACTAATCTAAATGAATGAACCATTCCCACCCCAGCCTCCATCTTCAGAGATCAGAACTAGATGATGTTCAGCTACCATTACTGATCACTCTAAAAGGGATCACATTAGAATGTCCTGGTAAGAGTAGGAGAAATTGTAGAAGAAAACCCTAAATCATAAAAAGAGACCAGGTTTTTTGGGTGGACAGAACCCCAGAGACTATGGCCCATGGTCACCTTTCAAGCCTGGAATTGAACCCACCTACGTGGATTAAGTTTTAGTCAAAAAAACAGATAAGTCTATAAGGTGAATAATAAGGTGAACGAAGGAGGTACAAATTCCTTAGAACCATCAACCATTTGAAATCAAAAGGGCAGCATTTGCCCAGGAACAAAGTTCAGAAGTCAGGAAGGATGAACTAGGAAATACAAGGAGGAAGTGGGATGCATGTTGTCATATTGTGGAGAATGTAATTAATCAATGGCATGAAACAAAATGTGTATGAATTATTGAATGGAAAACAGATATGCTC